GGAGAGATAGACAACAGGTTAGCAAAGACATACAGTGCTTTTGGAAAACTCCACAGAAGAGTATGGCGTAATAAACACTTGAATGTACAGGTAGAGAAGGGACAACTCAGGAGGAAGTCAGAATGCAGTCTGACCAATATCAGTATCCTGACACTGCACTGAGGTTTCTCGCTTGCTTGCTTACATGAGCATTTATTAATTTTGTCAGTAAGGACTATTATTACACATTAAATCAAAAGGTATTTTGTAGCTGGGCTACACCCAGGGCCACTCTGCGGGGGCTCTGGGTTCACTAACAGCAGCACATCTCTGGGGGAACAAGTTACTGAAACTGGTTTTTTCCTGCTGAGTTATTTTTGATGCAAAAAGCATAAAATATGTGTGTGGGTTCTTGCAGTTATATTATTGTTTAGTTTTTTCTACTGCTGTATGAGCAGCACTAATTTCTCAGTGTTTTTTTGGCAAGTTGGGTGCAAACTGTTGTTTGTATTTAATTGCAGTTTGAATTGGAAACCTTTCAGTGCCAACAAAATTAATGGGAGCTTTGTGTGCCTATTGTTCATTTTATTAGCAGGAACCAACCAGATGCTTAAAATGAAGAGGCTGCTTGGAGATGAGTGTCTGAACACTGAGTTACAAATGCAATATAATTAATTGTGTAACCAAATAATTTATATGACAGTTAGAGGGAAGCAAGCAACTTTTGGGATAGAACTGCCTTTCAGTATTTGACAACAGTGTAACCAGATGCTTTCAAGCATCTAATTTATAAGTAGTTTACAACTTAAAGTCCATTACATTATATGTAGGTGTTGTAAACAGTATACAGCTAGAAATGTTTTCAAGATTGTTAATCTAGTTGCTTGTTATGAGATTTTATCCTTTTATCCTTGAGCTCTGGCTAGATAACAGAAATTATTAATACTATATTCTTTTTTTTAGCAAAATCTTTTAGTTAAACACTCTTTTACAGTTAACAATTGGGAAACACTCCTGAGGCTTAGTTATCCATATCTACATTCTCCCCTATGTGCTGCATGTATTTTCTAAATCACTTATCTGTTTTTTCTACTCAGCTACTTAGTAGACTAGTGATTTTATTGGCTTGTTTTAAAGGATGATAGCTGACTACCAGGTATTGCTGCTGTGCTCACATCTTTGGAAATTTTGTGTCTAATTAGTTTTTATTGTTTTTTTAATAGCAGTCCCTTTTAGTCATTTGACTCATACATGGTTTCTGCTGTTCAGTTTTGGATGTTTCACATGTCACCACTTCTGCCATTTTCTTTTGGTAGTTACAACAGATTTTTCTCTTTTTGTCTTTGTAAATGCATACATTTTAAATATAAGTATTTTACCATATTTTTAGTAATTTGATGGTGCATCTTTCATATCTTTCTAGCATTTCCGCACCCACTTAACTCCATATGTTTTGTTCTTTTGCTTGCTACCTAGATGGTATCTCAACTTGAAACCCAAATCACTAAATTGACTGAAGTTTTGGAAAATCAGACCAGATTGTACCACAAAGCTCTGGAGAGGAGCAGGAAAGCTGAAAAATGTTCTGAGAGTTTCCAGGATCAACTGAAACACTTGGAAGAAGAATTGCTTACTATAGATCTGATGCAGGATGGTTTGAAGCTTGAGAAACAAAAAGTAGTTACACATGTTATTTAATTTTGGATAATAGTCACTGAGGACAGATACAGCTGATTGTATTGCATTGGTCATCTGAAGCATTACTCACAACACTCCAAATAATGCAAATTAGCAAAATCAGACATCACGTAGAGGGTAGTAATATCTTTTCTTTGGCCAACAATTGCAGTTGGAAAAAGCTAAGCTGTTGAGTTCCAAGTCCGTTATTGTGGAAAAAAAAACACCCCAAAAGCAACTTAAAAGAAGTCTCTGTAAATACATCAGAGGTCTTTGTATGATTCTCTGGTTTCAAAGCATTCTCTGATCTCTGTGTCTTTCTGTAGTATATCATCCAGTCTGCAATCTCTCTTGCAGTCTTTGTTTCTTTTATGTTCTTGGACAATCATGGCTACCAGGATTTTTTTATTAATTGGATGAATGAACACACTGTTAACCTATAACACATTCACATACTAAAAGTTTGAAAAATGGCGTAGTACCCAGAAAACCAAACCAGCCATCCAATGCAGCTAAGAAACACAAAGTTATAGCATGTTGCTAGGCCAAGGTCAGTGATTAGAAAGTGGGATTTGCAAAGAACCAACAGTTTGGTGCTATTTGTTTTGCCCTAGGCTATAATACAGTAACTTCTATGAATGAAACTGCCACCACACTGGGAGAAAACCAGACAAAGGATCTGTTTCTTCCTCTCTACGTCCTCTGTTAAGAGCATTTGGCCCTAGATTCTAAAATTTGCCTTTAGATTGTGCTGCAATAAAGAGATTCTTGTTACGATTTTTTTCCTGTTAATGCACAACTTCAGTGTTTTCTTCTGCTGCTGCTGTTTTTAATTTTTTGAACCAGAAGCATCACAAAACAAAAGGATATTCTTGCTAATGAACTAGTAATGAAACTGGTTTGTTGGTGGGTTTTTCTTTGTTTTGTTGGTTCTTTGCAAAGATTATGGTCTGCAAAAGAAGTAAGAGAAAACAAAGGGAAACAGTTCTTAGTCAGAAGGAGAGCTTTAGATTTTGCAAGAGAGGCTAATTGAGAGCAGGGAACTAATGCAATTTTTAAAAAGCTAGCAGAGCAGAAAAAAGAAGGAAAAAACAGATTGAATAATATTTCATATCTGTATGTGTTCATCACCAGATGGAGATGCAATTAAAATAATCATAAAAGCAATTTTTATACCAGCAGCTGTTATTTCTAAACCTTGCTCTTCCAAACCTTGCTCTTTCTAAACCTTGCTCTTCCAAAGAACGGCTAAAGACAGACCATGTTAATATTCCTATGTCTTCTCAGACTACATTGGATGGCATCATTGGTATCATTTATATCTGTTTTAAAAGTTGCAGTACTGGGCAATTGCAGCACTTGCAGTTATTAGTTAGGATGTAACTGTCCTTTCTAACTTCTCCCTGCCCATGCCTATCCATGTAAAGCAACAGAGCTCCAGACAGGAACTGGAGTCAGAAGCAGAGACATACCTAGTGCTGCAGAGAAGCAAAAATGAATCTTGTCTTACTAAGAAGATAAATACAGTAGGTCTAGGGATTTATGAACAGAATAAATGTTGGCTAAATAAGTACATATGGAGAATTTGCAATTGTGTCAGGAGTGTGTACTGTAAACATAGCCTTTATTATTTCTTGTGGATCATGTACATTGCTATATATCGTTGAATGCCGGTGTAGGGGGGATTGCTTTTAAATTGTACTTCAAGACTTTTAATGAGGTTTTATTATTCTTTCACCCACTTTTCCACACCTTATCTTAGTATCTGAAATTTCTGGAGCAACTGAACGAGAAGATGAAGCTGGATAGTCTAGCAGCAGAGTTTGGATTCGATATGAATATGGATGCGATTCTAGCCCGGGTAGAGCAGTTAGTGAAACTGGAAGGTGATGCAGTGATTGAAAACAAGACTGTGGCACACAGCCTCAGAAGGAAGGTATGCAAAAACGACATACCTTTACTATTTGTTTCAAAGATAAACATTACTATGGCTATATTTCTGTAGTGGTTTGCTAGAAGCAACAGATTGTATATGTACAACGAATTTCAAAGATGTCCATTTCATAAAAAGAAGATAGCAAGCATTTGCAAACTGTGCAAACAGACTGCATATTAAAACAACTAAACCCACCAGTGGGTTGAACACATGATATGTGTTTGTGTCTACTTTTTAATAGACATTTATAACATTCTTCTGTAAACAACTACCATCAATATTTAAATCTGAAAGGATCTGCTGGGGAGGGGGATATATAATACAAACTTCTCTAGAAACTAGCAGGGTGTTGGTTGTACTTCACCAAGAATTTCAATGTTTTCAGCAAGAACTGTTCCTTCATTCAATATTTCCTTCAGGAACAAATCCAAATCTGTTCAAATTTGGTCAAACATCCCTCCATCATCGTGTTATAACACAGTGAAATCTTTAGAGTTTAGGCTTATCAGACTGATGAGGAGCTGAGAATTGGAGTCTGTTTAAGGTTTAAAACAGTACTGTATTTCTTTTTTTTTTTTTTTTTACGAAGCAACTGCCTCTCTAGCAGGGAGTATATGTATATCAATACTCCTCAGATGTTCCAGAGTAAGGCCTGGCAGCTCAGTTCAGATAAACTGAAAACAAGTAGCTCCTTCAGCAGCAAATTAAAAAACTAAGCTGCTGGACCTGGCATTGGAGCAGTGGATGAAAGATTCCTTATTTCTGTATGTTGCTTCTCCTTCTGGAACACCTTAAACTACCACCACTGGAAGCACTGTCTCCTTAATGAATCTCTCTCGCGTCTTGCATTTGACTGGTGTCTTATACTTCAGGCAATCTCGGATGTTATGAGTGATGCACAAGTATTTATGTTCAAATAGGATGAAGTCTCTGTGTAAAATCATTCTAAAAGGCAGTGCACAAATTCAGGGATGGAGAAGTACAATGAATTGGTAATATAAGGAGTATCAAATTAGTGTATATATACTGATACTTCTTTACACAGTTTTCAAGAGAGGAAAAGGAGTTCAGGCTATATGTGCAACACAGGGATTAAATTTGCAAAACAATCTGTGTAGTACCACTGCCATTCACATATATTTTTTCAAATATCCTTGTGTTTGGAAAACAAGTTGAAGACTCAGAAGGAAAAACTTGAAAGCAAAGAGCTTCACGTGAACCTTCTGCGGCAGAAAGTAACCCAGCTGGAAGAGGAGAAGCAAATCAGGACTGCCTTAGCCGTGGAAAGGGATGAGGCCAATCTTGCTGTCAGAAATTTACATAAGATGATAGAGAGGTTACAGAAGCAGCTTGATGTGGCAAGGGAAACGAATACTGATCTCAAAGCCAAGCTGTCTGAAACCAATGAACTTAAGGTGAGTTAAAAGGTTACGTTTGCGCTTTTTGCCAGTTTTCTATTCCAGTTGTATACAGCTGGAGTTCATTTATAAATGTGTTCATAGAGAACTGCTCAAATCTATCTAGGTGGCAAAAGCAAATATAATATTAAAATGTTTTGGTATATTTTGCAATTTTTATTGATATGCTAAGAAGTGTCTGTAAAGCACAATTTAAATTTTCAGGGTAGTGTAAGAAAATATGATATATGCATCCTTTTCTTTCCTGTTGATGTGGCTGTAATCTTCTCTTTTCCCATACATTACATGCAGAAGATCTATTCATATAGATATGGGGGGAAAATGGCTTTTTTTCTTGCATACAACAGGCAAGATGCTAAATTTTAATTGTTCCTGTCTACATGTGATTTCATCAAGAACCCATAAGAACCCACATTAAAGTGCTTATTCATGATTGCTTATTTGTTCACATTAGATGAAAAAGTATGAAAAATTTAATGCTTCTTTATCTTATTGCAGATCAAAACTTTGGAGCAGAACAGAACAATAGAAGAACTCAATAAATCTCAAGGCAAATTGGAAAGAATGAAAGAAAAAGCTGAGAAACAACTTAGATCTGTCAAATCAGAACTTCTTTTAAAGGAACGTAAAGCTACTGAAGATAAAGAAAAAAACCAAAATATATTAGAAGCAGTTACCAGTGAAATGAAGGTGCTTAAAACAACCCTTGCAGAACTAGCAAAAAGAGAGAGACAGGTAGGTGTATAGGTATTTGATAAGTGCTAGCGGTCCCTTAGAATATAAGAATGTGGTATATGTGGAGCAGCTATCCAGCTGTGCTTAAAATTGTTCTGAACATCATTAAACAAGGAAATTTTAGCTCACTCTTGTGAGTCAATGTGACGGTTGTGATTCTGAGAGGCAAAGTTTTGCAATAGAATAATAAATACAGGCAATAAATACTTTGTTCATCACAAAATATTATATAACCTTTTAAAGAGCTAATAAAATGCTTTAAAATCATGGGATCTCTTTTAACGTAAGTCTTTTTCCAGATATCTTAGGCATAAAACTTACCAACTTCTCATCCATTTCCTCTCATTTCTCATTCATGTCTCTTGGACTTTCTCCTTGCTAATTGTGTGAGACTCAGCAAGGCTAAGGGATAGGATGAAAGGAAGCAGCTTCAAGTTGTGCTGGGAAGGTTTAGATTGGATATTAGGAAAAATTTATTGACTGAAAGGGTAGCCAGGCATTGGAATAAGTTGCCCAGGGAAGTGGTTGAGTCACCAGTCCTGGAGGTATTTAAAAGATATGTAGGCATGGTTTAGTGATGGACTTGGCAATGTAGCTTAAGTGTTGGACTTGATAATCTTAAAATTCTTTTCCAACCTAAATGATTCTATGGTTCTGCATTACTGTGTATAGGCCATAAACTTAAAGGATGTTGAAAAATACAAGAAAAACCCCCAACTGCACAACCCCCCCCAACTTAATATTGAATGTAACTATTTTGGATCAATTTATTATATATAACTTTGTTATTTAGGTCAGAAAAAGTTTTGTGGTAATTTACCTTGGGGAGGGTGTAAGTAGTTTGTGGCAAACATATTAGTAAATGTGTTCCATTCTAATTTCAAAAAATTGTGAACCATGTATGTTATTGCCCTGCACGTTGTGTTTTGTAGCAATGTTATAGATGGCATAATTGTTGAAAGCTAATGGGATGCTTCTTCAAAGTAAAAAATTTATAATTTTAAATTTTTTGTTTCAACTGCTTAGAATATTAGGTTTTCCAGCTAAAAATTTTATGCCATATGTCAGGCTTAACAGTGACTCTGGATGAAATTTAAGAATGTTATTTAAAAAAATTAGTCTAGAAAAATATTTTTTTATTTACATGGAGAGAAGACCAACAACCTGGGCATCTTTTTTTCTTGGAAATCTTTTCACTTCCCCAAAGCCCTGCCTTGCAGTATCTTGGGTTAATGCTCTAAATTGCATTAATTTCATGATTTTTTATTTCAGATCATTTTACTCACTGAATGGAAGGTGCAAAGGAAATTTAGCAGGAGTGCTCACTGCTGTAGCATAACTTTGGTTTTGTGTCTTGAGTGATGTTTATCTTTTCTTATTTCTCTTGTTTATTTCAAATTGTGATTATCTTAGGAGTTTTACTGAAGAAAACCTTAAATAGAGAGGTGGTTCTTCTGTTAGATTCTAGTATTTCAGCAGAACTGTTGTGTTTTTAATACCTTTGTTGCAGCCAAGAGCAATGCTTCTCTCTGTCAGTTTATGTAGAATATTTCTTTGTCATCAACCCTTTTTCTGCCTTTTCAATGAACTACAACTTTGCCTGCACTGTACTTTATATGCCACAATATAATAAAAAAGTCTTTCTGTCTAAAAATTCACATAAATAAATGGCTTACATGCTTTCTTTAAGGGCGCTCTGTGCTTTCCACTTTAGGTTATTTGCTGATGAAAGTCATTGAATTCTTGATGTGTTTACTGTCCATTCAATATAGGTATGACCTGCTTTTCCCATCAGAAATAAAGGGTGAGGTGATTGTGTAAATGTTTTACTTTGTATCTATTCCCTTTGGCCAAATCCTGCCAGATCAATAATCAGTGTCAGTGCATCAAATTTGATTTGATTATTACATTTGCTACGTGGTTGTAATACAATTTGGTTTACTCACAGTTGCTGTAATTAAGTTGAACAGCTTGCAGCAGCAAAGATATGAGAGCAAGAAATTCAGTGCAAAGTGCAGACCCTAATGTACTCATGAAAGATCAGTTGGGTTTGCTGTATAGGTTCTTCCGGGAGTGTACTTAGTCCAAAGGTTGGATCAAACAAATTCCAGCTTTGCTGACTGCTCATCCTGTCTGTGATCCAGATGTTTAAAAATATCTTTAGCTTCTGTTATATAGTACTTGCTTAGCACTCTGCCAGAGCCCAGCATCAGTGACCTCCTGAATTGGTTTTGAAGATAATATCTGGGAACTTAAGGGGTTTTTGGTGTTAACATTGTTCCAACATTTCATTGAAGACATTGCACTGTCTTGGTAATACAGACAGCTGGGACTGAATTCTCAAATCATAAAACCATAGAATGGTCTGTGTTGGAGGGGACCTTAAAGATCATCTGGTTCTAACTCCCCCACCATGGGCAGTGACACTTTCCACTAGATCAGGTTCCTCAAAGCCCCATCCAACCTGGCCTGGAACACTCCTAGGGATGGGGATGGACAACTTCTCTGGTCAACCTGTTCCAGTACCTCACTACCCTCTGAGTAAAGAATTTCTTCCTAACATTCCAATCTAAATCTTCCTGTTTTAGTTTAAAACCATTTCCCCTTTTCCTATCCTACATGCTTGTGTAAATAGTCACTCTCACTCTTTTTTTATAAGCCCCCTTTAAGTACTGGAAGGCTGCAATGAGGTTTCGCTGGAGCCTTCTCTTCTCCAGGCTGACCAACCCCAACTCTTCCAGCCTGACTTCATAGTGGAGGTGCTTCAGCCCTCTGATCATCTTTGTGGCCCTCCTCTGGACTCACTCTAACAGGTCCATGTCTGTCTTGTGCTGAGGACTCCAGACACCAGTCCTAGACTGGTGTGGTTTCCTTTTTGTGTTTCTGAACTGATGGCAGCTCCTCAGGGTTTGTACTGGGATGAACCAAACTGTCTTTGGTAAAGTCTTGGAACTGAGACCTTGTTTTCACGAAAGGCTTCAAAAACCTTTCCTCACAGGTGTTGTATAACTGCTTTACAATTCTGCACAGTACTATTGGGGTTGGACACATATTTCAAGAGTGTGTCTATCTCCTCCTTAACGTGGAGTGAGGAGGATGCCACACCAGAGCATGAGTCCAGTTTCTTGATGATTTTGATGATTCTATGACATTTTCAGTCACTTTCATGCTTAGGAATGGGGATCTTGGCATTCAAATAGATAGCAAGACAAGAATATTTCCTCAAATAGGAACATTTCCCTATTTTGTGTGCTGATGATAAGGGGTATTAAGGCATTTATGATTTTGACTGTGTAATGCATTGTCCATTGAAGAGGCATTGCAGTTTGACTTGTAATCATCCATATTAAGAGTTGAGAAGAGCAAATCAGCATTAATGTTCAACTGACCTTAAGTTTTTAATCTAGTTACTGGTGGGGTCACTAGTGATGACAGTTGTGGATGTCTGTCCATTTGGAACTGCAGAAAGTTGGTGTCTTGAATTACTTTGTCAAATTCCTATGATATATTTTCAGCAGCTATGCAGAGAAGAAAAACAAGCCTTTCCCAAGCTGCATCTTGAATTTGGGCTGTATCTTGATTCAAATCAAAGTTAGACCAAGGAATGTTCCAAACTTCCACCTTTCTTCTAACTTCTTCTTTTCTGCTGTGGTTTCCACAAGAAAGTGCAGGGTGGAGAGAAGCAGTGGCAAACAGTGGTCAAGGACCAGGATCTTAGCCCGTACTCTGGGTTGTGCCCATCAGAGTTTGCAGCCATCTGTATAGCTTCTGGTCATCTGAGTCAAGTACAGCTCCTCTGCCTGTGTTTTCCTCAGTTTTTGCAGTTGAGTTAGCAGGGAAGATATGCCTGTGAAAAAAACTAAAAAACACTTGAAACCGTGCTTTTTATTTGAGATACTTAACATCTTGGCTGTTCATGTGTTTTGTGACTTGACGTATGCCCCTAAGTGGCTTTTTGCAGCCACCTCTGCTCTTTGTATTGAGCAACAGCAGAAATGCCTATATTTTGCACCAAAAATACAAATGCTTGTGTTTGCATGTATGCAAATATGTATGTGTGTTCCCAGACATCTCCTCTGCTTGCTATTTAATTTATTCCTTTCTGTTTACTCTTGCAGCTGGCAGATTTCCGAGAGGTGGTCTCGCGGATGCTGGGCCTCAACATTGCCAGCCTGGCTCTTCCTGACTATGAAATCATTACATGTCTTGATGAGTTGATTCACTCTTATCAGCACCACTGCTTCCCTTGTGTCTGCCTCAAAGAGGTGGCAAGGGCACCAGAGGAGCAGCAAAGAAATGTACACCTTCTTCACTGAAAGGAGACAGAACAAAGTAAAATTTTCTTTTTGCTTAAGGCCTTACCTGCTACACATCCACAGAAAAGAGATACTTATTTCTATTCCCTACTCTACAGAAACCGACTAGGGCTGATTTTTAGAATTTCAATAGGGAGACTGAACCAAATAGATAGAGTAAAGCCAGGAGCCTGGAGATGGCAAAGAGAAAATCTCTGGGCAGCACAATGCTTCAGTTATGAAAATAATAGGCCCTTCAGTCATGATCAACGATACCCTCCAGTTTCATTGCAGAGGCACTGAAGTCATGAGCCACCCAAGGTCAGTTCACAGTTTTGGGAAGCAGTTGAGAAGTTAGTGAATGTCCACTTTAGTCTCATTCCTTCTGATTTGCTTCTGGGTGTCAAGGATAAAATAAAGTAGGGGTTGTCCTGCTGCTGTTTCTCTTGACAAATGGGACCTCTCTGTGTTTTTACACATAAAGACTTTAGCTTCAAGAAAGTTATCTGGAAGTTAGAGGATTATCTCAATTTTTGAACACGGGATTTTTTTTTTTTTTTACTTCTGTTGTTTTCCTTTGTCTGCGCTTCTGCCAAAACAAGAAGTTTTGCAGCAAAGGCTTTTTCACAGGCTCTTGTCACATGCCTGATATAGATATATTTGGTAAAATTGAATGGTGACCTTGGTCATGATGCCTTGAAAATTTTTCTTCTGCTGTATTCCTTGGGCAATTAATCCACAGGCCAAATAAATGGCAATTGTTCTGAGTTAAGGAAATTTTATAATTGTAAAATGCTTGTCCATTACAGAAAATACGTGAATTACTAAAGTCTTTATTTTCAGAGAAGCAATGGTGAGGTGTACAGAACTACCTCTTAATCATAAAAACTGCTTTCTATCACCTTTTCTGAGTGTTATTAAACTTTATGATTTTTTAAAAGAAGTATGAACAGTAAATCTGTTTTCATAGCACACTCAACTTCATTCTGTATTTTTAGTTTTTTCTTCCCATTATATGTTTTGTATGGATGTGTAGAACAATAAAGAAGACTAATCTATTTATGTCTGACCATTTGTGGGCTTTCTACAGTATCTCAGCAAATGATAACCCACTCAGTAAAACTGAACACACTATTTTAGGAAAAATTACACTTTTTCAAATAGGAGTGGTAATTTTGGTATGTGGCTGCAGCCTCAAAGCTTTTTTTTCACTTGCCTCTGAAGAATCATTTCTCAATGACTTGTTTGTAAAATAAATCAGTCATTTGGGGAGATAAACTAAATAATATTTTCTTGTGCTCCTGTGGCTACCTGGATTAAAAACAATTTCATTTCTTGTTTTATCATGTAATGTTTTGGAGGGAATGGCTTCAAACTGAAAGAGAGCAGGTTTAGATTAGATGATAGGAAGAGATTCTTTTTTATGAGGGTGATGAAGCACTGGAACAAGTTGCTCAGAGAAGCTGTGAATGTCCCATCCCTGGAAGTGTTGAAGACCAAGCTGGATGGGGCTTTGAGGAACCTGGTCTAGTGGAAGGTGTCCCTGCCCATGGCAGAGGAGTTGGAAATAGATGATCCTTAAGGCCCCTCCCAACACAAACTGTTCTATGATTCTGTGATTCCTTTTTTTTAAGGTAAAGTTTAATAAATGGAACAAAGGAAAAAGCTAACATTAAATTATATAGACTTAAACTTGGCACAACAAATTGCAAGTAAAGTAAGAGATTGAAATGTTTAAGGCATGATATCTTGGGTGGGAATTTAGAGTGTGGAGATGGATGCAATACTTTTCTAATTCTTTGTGAGATAATACAAGTAGTTTCAGTTTGTGTTTTGCTGGTTTTATAGGCATTGCTGCTTCAGTTATTACTCAAACAACAAAACCTGTTTTCTTCATCAATATTAATAAATATCATACAAAGCATGATTTGCCATAAATTGCAAGTTAAGTAAATTACATTACAAATTTAGGTCCACTCAGCCCAGATAATACATTTATAACTTTAAGAAATAATCTCTGAGAGTGCCCATCTTAGAGTAAGTTTGCATATTTGTCCAAATTTTATGGTTGTGAAATGATTTCCTAATGTCTGCCAGCAGACTTGAAATCTCCTGTCATACTCATCAGCCCTGTATCCTGCCACCGTGTGACCAGCCCCTGGCACCATCAATGAAGTTCCAGCCCCACAGAAGCCACAAGAAATGTTCTCCAAATTACTTCAGAGGAGGCAGACTTTCACATGAATCATAGAATATGCTGAGTTGGAAGGGACCCATCATGATCATTGAGTCCAACTCCTGGCCCTGCACAGGACATCCCAAGGGTCACACCATGTGCCTGAGAGCATTGTCCAAATGTTTCTTGAACTCTGTCAGGCTTGGTGCTGTGACCACTGCCCTGTGGAGCCTGTTCAGGTGCCCAACCACCCTCTGGGTGACAAACCTTTTCCTAATATCCAACCTAAACCTCCCTTGAAACAACTTTGTGCCATTCCCATGAGTCCTGTCACAAGAGTGAAGGCATTGGTTCCCTACTCTTCCCCTCACAAGGAAGTTGTAGACTGCAATGAGGTCTCCCCTCACTCTCCTCCAGACTGAACAGACCAAGTGACCTCAGCTGCCCCTCATATGGCTTCCCCTCAAGGCCCTTCACCATCTTTGTTACCTTCCTTTAAAGGGACATTCTCTAACAGCTTAATGTCTTTTATACTGTGATGCCCAAAACTGCACACAGAGCTCAAGGTGAGCCTGTGCCACATCAGGTTGGTTGTGATGCTTGATTACTGGCTTGTGTGTTAAGCCAACAGAAAGTAGAATTAAGAGTTTTCTAATGCCTTTTTTTTTTAATTGTTATTTATACTGTGGATCTGTATTTTCCAAAGTATTAATGCTCATCATGTTCATAAAGGAATATGACCTATTATCTTACCATTAATATTCCCTGTATTTGTTTTCTTTTTGGAAGCGTACTGACATCTTCCTTCGTTTAGCCAAAGCAAATAAATAAATAAAAAAAAAGTAAAGAAGTAATTTGATGCGAACAAAGTTTAGGTGATTTTTGACCCATGTAATTTAAGTAACCCCTGAACAAAGTTTAAACTGACTTGCAATCTTTTTTTAAGGTTTGTTTCATACAGCATTGAAATTACTCTTTTGGAAAAAAGATGAGAACAGGCTCATGAATGTTTTCAGCATTTGTTTCAAATGTTTCAAGATGCATTGAACACAAGACAGGTATGATAGAAACATTAAAGTGTGGATTAAGGTTGTGTCAACAGACACCCCTCTTCCACTAGATTATTTTTATTGGGTTTGTTCATATTAATACAAGGTGTAGGATTAAGAGTTTGCTGTCTGTTCATAATGACTTTTATTGTGGTAAAGAATTCTTGATTTATCAACAGAACTGTGCTGTTACAGAACAGCACAGTTACAGGGCTGCATTTTTTTTTCCAATTAACAGCTGAACCAACTCCAATTAAGATAAATTCAGTACTAAGTGTTAAGGCAAAATTCAACAAATTAAAATGTTGCAATCGTAGATATTGAAATGAAACAATTTACATGCCATAAACATTGTAATAATAAAATCACAAAGCAAATAGAAAAGTGAGTGTTACAATGTTATGAGTGTATTAAAATACATGCAACTGAATTTTTGCCTACGCATCACGTTGTTGGTAATACATTCTTTGCAATACAGTAGAACCATGAATGAGAACATTAATGTAGTAGAACCATGGTTTCTCGAAGAAGTAAAGCGCAAAAGTATTCAAGCACTTTGCTGAATTAGAATTAGGAAGCATAAAGACATATCACATTAAATTACTCCTTGACTTATGTTGCTGTAGAGTTTATTATTACCGTATGAAGAAGTTTGCTTGCTTTTTCACATTTTCTTTCTACGGATGTGTGCATCATCCACGTTTTCCTAGGGCCTGCTCAGTTATTGGATTATTTTGCACATTATGATGCTGCAGGAGAGGGTAAATATGGGTGACCCAAGTCATAATAGATTTTAAGTTAAACAAAAGGCAGGGGGGGAAATCAGTTATATTTCTAGAGAAAAAGTAATGTATTCTCCCAAATTGTTCATATGAAATAGAAGTATTTTCTAAGACTACAGATGCTGACCATTTCTCTTGACCATCTGAAAGAGAAACGTGAGGAATGGAGCAAAATGATGTGAAATTCTCTATGAAATTAGAGAAAAGGAATATCTGATACTACTGAAGCACATAAAATTAGTTAACTATGTGGAAAATGAAAAAATGATAGCTTGCCAGAAGAGAATGTTCAAAGATAATCCTTTTCAAATGGAAGATTTTCAGATTGTTTTTCTTTTGTCAAAACAAGTAAGAATCCTCAACGACAATGCTTTTTCTTCTGGAAGAAAAGGAGGATGAGTTTATTAAACTGCACTCATAATTAGTGAGGAATAACTGAGTCAGAAATGAAAAATCTACAAAACACAACAGTTTGTTGAATAAAAGAGGTGACAATTTTAAAGTCAGCTAATGAGCTCCGAGACAAAGAAGAACACTTATTTTCAGAAGGAAATAAATAACACACTTGAGGTATGGGGGTTTTTTTAATTTTTTTTTCCCTGTCACTACTTACTTTGGATAAGTAGGAGAAACAAGACAAAGAAGATTGCATTGTCAGCAAGTGGGCTCCAAACAGTTAGCTTCAAATTGGTCCCAACTAGAGAAACCAAGTGTTGGATGGCTTTTGGAGAACAGGAAGTCTCACCAAGCTGGGAACTGAATAGTTTTTGGCCTTGTGGCATGTGTACTTTTTACAATTTTTGTTATAAATTTGTGTTTTTATAAAGTGCTTGGGGCTTTTTTTTTTTTTGTAATGGAATGTTAGTGTGTTGGGGGGGGGAGGACAAGTGCTTGGTTATAAACAAAACATTAAATTTTCTATTAATACTAAAATAGGCCAATGAGTGCAATTTAATCTGAAAAAAAGAACCTTGACCTACAAAATATTCCTGTTACCATGTCTTAGTAGCGACAAATGCTCTTTGAGAGCGGGTCAGAGGATCAGAGCTTAGTTTCCCCTTCCAAAATCAGGATGCTAGGGGCAATTGTTCCTGCTGGGCAGTGCAGCCAGCCCCAGCCTGTGCCAGGCAGGCAGCCCTGCGGGCAGCAGAGCCCCTTCCCAAGGGCTGCCTGGGTCTGGGTGGCCTGGGCTGGGTGTGCTCACACTTGTGCGTGCTGTCTGTCTCCCCATCGTCTGCCAAGTCCTCTCCTCAGCCGTGACCCTGGCCAGCTGGGATGCTGTACCGCTCCTCAGGCCACATGCTGGGAGCTCTGATTACAAAACAAATACACCATGGTAGCTGTGGGATGCTGGAAGACCTTCCTCAGTGTTGCTGTGAAGGCAGCAACATGCCAGCAGAGCTGACTCAGCCCTTTCCCTGTCTGGTCATGTTTTCATGCTGTGAGGAAGAGCACAACCACAGCGGCTCTGTGAGCTGTGGCAGGGCATTAGGGAGAGCCTTGCAAATGGGGCTGTAAATCTGGGCAGAGCAAAGAGGCACCTCTGGTCTCAACAGTGAGTGTCTGCAGTCTGTAACCTGTGCTTTGGTTGACGGCCAGGCTCTTGGGCTAAAGCTGCATGAAGTAAGAAGCACTAAGACTATTTCACTAAGCATTTCAAAGCATTTCTTCTGTGTATACTTCATACCACAGTAACAATGTAAAAATATGCAGTACAAATTATAAAGTAGCAGTATGAATTGATATGGGCAGCCACTCTGACTGGCTTCTTGACCTTAGAGAAGATCAGAGACAGGCATCCCAAAGGACAAGCAGAAATACAGTACTAGCAAACAACTCTCAGACCTTTCTCTGAGGACATTTTCTTTCAAAGTTGCCACATGCTCCATTAGATTTGCTGTCATTCACAATATCTTTCTCACCTTGATCTTTCACAGATCACTTACCTGCAGTAAAGTCTCTGTGGCCAGCCCTGTTCTTCATCTGGCAAGGTTTTCAAGTCCATCCTTGCAAGGACTGTGGTGTCAGCCAGTTTGTGCAGGGTTGCTGGAGAAATCCATCCACACTCTTGCTCTGCTGCAGTGTCTTTTAGACTACACTTGAAGAGGTTTCATACCCTTTTTAGGTAATTTTCTGGAGCTGCTGGGGTGAGGGCAGTCAGTACATGCATATGTGGGTAGAAGAAAGAGCAGAAAGGTTTTGGTCAACCTAAAGGGATCCTTTGAAGTAACAAGCCTGTGTCAGACATATGGCCACAAGGGGACAGATATATACTGCTTAATTGTGGTAGGGAGGTGGAGCTGCAAGAAAAATAATGTGAGGGTAAAATGATGGCAGCAAACAGACCAGGACAGGTGCAGGTGCAGGTTGTTGTGAAGCAGACTGCAACAGTTTTCATAGCTGAAGTACTATCCCCATCAGTGTAGGTGGAAAGAATTCTGCAGATTATAGAACTTTC